TTGTAGAGTTGCCAGATAAAGGACAGCCATTTAAATTGGAATTTCAGATGAAAAACTAGATTTCTGTTAGTATAAATATGCCTCAAAGGCTGCATGGGACTTTTATATTTATTCATTATTTACTTGAAATTAAAATTTAACTGAGCATCCTGTAGGTTTCTTAGTTTTTCTGAATCTGACAACCCCTACCTACATGCTTTTTGGGGTTAGATGTTGGGCAGGTTTTATCCTAAAGTAATATATTACTATTTTTGAATGAAGTAGAGAGGAATACTTCTTAGTAAGTGTAAAGGCTAAATTATAGCGTTAAAATGTCTTCATTGGTTAAAATACTACAAATATAATTGTTACAAATTAATATCAATAAATAAAAGTAGACAATGATGATCCACATAGAAGAACATCTTCCTACTTATCTAATCCCAAGAACTTAAGGGAATCTTGAACCTCAGCATCTTCCAACTACATACTTAAGGCATATTAAAGAGAATATATGATAGTATAAGTATATCCTTTTAAAAGAAAGTCTGAAATTAAAAAGGGTTGAAGTGTGATTATCCTTTGTTTAAGACATGTACAATCATTTTATTTATATATATTTTACATATTAGTGTAGCAATTCCTAATTACTCCATAACACACTGAATTCTCCCTTCTGTAAACTTGTAAAGCATTTACTCTGTTATTCATTTATTCATATTAAGTAAGCATCTTCTATGTGCCAGGAATTGTGCTGAGTGCTAAGGGTATAAAAATAAGAGCAAATCTCTGTCCATGTGGAGCTCATCATACAGCTCTGGAAACAGATACAATATTGACATTATAATGCAACGTGACAAGAGCTATAACAATGAAATGAATTGCTTCTAAGATCCAGAAAAAGTAGTCTGATGGAGGCTTCACTGGAGAAGGGACATTTAGACTGGATTTTCTAGGACTAAGAAGCAAATGAGGCTATTTTAGGCAGAGAAGGAGAGAGAGAGAGATAATGAGTAAAAAAGAATAAAAAAAAAAAAACCCTCAAACCCAACACCCCAGCCTGTGAAATAACCTGCTGTAACTTGGAACTAGTGAGAAGACGGCATGGGGAGGGGCACCCTGGAAACAGGGTAGAGTGTAAAGAGTTGGCAATTTGATTTAAAGACAGGGAAGAGGAGCCCATGAAGAACATTTTGTATCAGGTTATAAATTCTGTTTTTATTGTATAGTCAACAGAGTTTTAAATAAGACTGAGGCCTTAAGTCAGTGAGACCTAATTGTTTGTTTCAGGAATATATCTGGAGTTTGAAATAACACGCGACCAGAAATTGTTGCAGTAGTTCATGGGATACATGAGGACAAAAGGAATAGTGTAGTTGCACTAGAAGTGGAGAGATCTTGAATGTGAGACATTTGTAAGTTAGAATTATTAGGATTTGAACACTTTTTCTGTTGTTGGTTTATTTTTATTTTTATTGTTTGGTATGAGGAAGAAGGTATGAGGATAAAAAATAGGGATAGTTCATGTAGGTGTGTGTTATTTCCCTAAGGCCTTAAGGTCATTAGAGGAAGGGTCTCTCTCCTAACAAACAATAGTCAATACAGTCTTGTTCAATTTAAACCAGAAGCACAAAATGTTTAAGATGGGTGTATTTGTATGTCTGTACTTCATTATTATTTTGACAAATCTAGTCAGTATTACAAGAATAACAGGATGCACATTGGCAAACCCATTTTTATCCCACTTAGTTAAATAAAATAATCCAGTTGTCTGACACATAATGATTTTATCAAAATTAACCTTTGTCTTTGATAACTTCTGCTCTGTGATTGTTATCGTTTACTTTAAAATATAATCATGGCCAGGTGTGGTGGTGTATGCCTATAATCCCAGCTACTCAGGAGGCTGAGGTGGAAGGATCAAGACCAACCTGGCAACATAGACTCCATTTCGTAACAAACAAACAAAAATGTTTGTATCAAAATATCACATGTACCCCATAAATATATATATGTATCTTTTAGGTACCCAAAATCATTAAAAATTTTAAAAAAATATAATAATGTATAGTTCTTTTCATTTTTTAATGTGTCAATATAATTGTTCTTTGGTGCCAGGCATAGTGGCTCACAATTGTAATCCCAGCACTTTGGGAGGCCAAGGCAGGAGATCACTTGAGGCCAGGAGTTCAAGAGCAGCCTTAGCAACGTAGTGAGACCCTGTCTCTACAAAAAATTTAAAAAATTAGCTGGGCATGGTGGCATATGTCTGTCATTCTAGCTCCTGCGGAGGCTGAGGTGGGAGCATTACTTGAGCCTGGGCGGTTGAGGATGCAGTGAGCCAAGATTGCTGCACTCCAGCTTAGGCAAGAAAGCAAGACCTTGTCTCAAAAAAAAAAAAAAAAAAAAAAAAAATTTGTTCTGTTTCATAGGTAAAGAATTCAATGCTGGATAAGTCTGAGATAGACCAAATGTGGACTTTGAATTCATAGTTTTACTTTTGTTGCTCAGTGTTAAAATCATAAAACCTGCAACAAAGAAGCAACAAGCAGTGATGCTTTATATGGAAGGACTTTCTTGTTCCAAGAAATGTATCACTTTATATACAACACAATGTACTATTTAAATGTAACATAAATTATATATTCCTATGCATTATTTCTCTGTTTATATATATTTTTATACTAAAAAAATGCTATTTGTGAGTTGAGTTTTACATGGGTGTATTAAGGGAGGCGCACCAGTTGATGAGGTGTTGTATGAGATCTTTAAACACACCCAGACTCTAAGGCGGCAATGAATAACCTTGAACAGGTAAGGAGCCAGGTGGCCCTAGGGTAGGGAGAAAGTGCGACATTGTAACATCCCTTTGGATAATGTCTGCAGCCAGATCCTGTGTCACCATGACTCAGCATCACACAGACATTGATTGCACAGCACAAGGAACACACAGGAAGCAAAGCTGGTCTGTCACATGGCAATTAGTTTGAGACACCACACCTGTATTCCCACCGCGCATGTCATTCCCCCATATCTTTGGCTACCACAGAGGAAAGCAGAATGGATCTGGGCAATTTATTGTCTTACTTTCGCTGAGGAGAGGGAGAGCAGGAGAATGCATGCTATTCCACTTTTTCTGTGCTGCAGTGGGCATGTTGGTCATTGCTGGGAGCCCTTCAGTGAAGGAAAGTTACGGAACACCAAAAAGTGTCAGGAGCTTCCATGTGGCTGAAAAACCACATTCCATGGACATCAGCCAGTGTTGTAGTGTTAGGCTGTGACTTAGGCATGTAACTGGGCCAACGATTCCAGTTTTGCATGGAAAAAGCACACATGATTAGTTTTTCAATGAGGAAGTAGACAAGTTTTACTAATCTGTTGACTGAGAGCTTACAATATACTCATGATGAAATCTCTCTGGAGCAAGTCCTATGAAACAGTGTAATGACTTGGCACAGGATGGCTGGATTTGCTTTAAAAAAATTCTCATTCATGTTTATTTAGGTCCAAAGGATCCATTATACTTCAGCTTTATATGCTATTAAATTTAGAGATGACACAATTCAGGACACATCTTACATAGTTCTTTTGGTGGAACAAAAGCCCTGATAGAATAAGGTGACATTTATGGGCCTTTAATATCAACATTACAGAAGAAGGGGAATTGCATTTTCTTTGTATGTAAGAAAATAATGACTAGAATAATTCTGAAATGAAATCATGGCATTATTGTCAGGATTGGTAAATCTTTTTAATTAAGCTATTATCATTTCCGTCATGCAGCTGCATTTAATGTCTTAAGTAGGCAACATGATATTTTCACAGGAATTATCAAATAAACTCAGTATGTTAGCTTCCCAGGGACTTGGAAGCTTTGAATATAGAGGAGGAGAAGGTCCAATGAGGGGAAAAAGACCTTCTGAACCCCCTGTGGTCATAATTCCAGGGAAAGAAGGAGAAGAAACTTAAATATTTGTTAACTGCTTACTGTCTGTTAAGATTTTTAATGTATTTTATTCCCTTTAATTTTGAAAGCAATTCTGTGAGTTGAATAATTATTTCCATTTTTTTGCTAATGAGAAAACAAGCTCCTCAGAGAAGGTGAACAGAAACTGACCTATTAAAACCCTATCATGTAGGTACTGTGTAGGAAGTTAAGATGTATTTTCTCATTTAATTATCAAAATAAGTATCATTTTATGAACATGAATTAAAATAGGCTAGATTATACTTTGGTAACAAATAGACCCAAAATTTCAGTGGCCTAATAATATAAAGGTTTATTTTTCACTCACACAAAGTTGACTTTGATGCCAGGGGACTTCCCAAGCCAGTTCCTCCTGTGGTTTCTTGGCATTCGAGGCCAAGGGAAGGGAAGTAGCACCATGATGCGGTCACACTGCCTGGAATGAGGACTCCTTGCTTGTTGCCGCAGGGAAAAGTGACAGGAGAAGACTGCATGGGTTCTTAAGGCCTCAGCCTGGGACTTACGCACGTCCTCTTCCCTCTTAGCCCATTGTCCGGGGTCTAGTCACATGGACTCACCGCACAGTGGGCAGGTTGGGAATCACGAGGGAGAAGAGGGATAGCAGTGACCCCAACTGGGTCTGCCACGGCACTGTCACCCCCATTTTAAAAATGAGAAGACTGAAGTTCAGAGAGGTTAGATTGTGTTCCTTGATCACTTCCTTGGTGATTTGTAGACTCAGTTCTTGAAACTAGATCTCTCTCAGTCTAAAGAATCTGTTTTTTTGCCCTCTACTCCATCTCACCCCACACACACTCTGAGTAATTTCGTGGTTTGGAGTTAGGTATGGATCTGTGGTCGCCAGCCTTCAAGATGGCTCCTGTCATCCTCGCCTCCTGGGATTCATGCCCTTGTTGTTCCCTCTGTCAGTGAATAGGGCTGACCTGTGTGACCAGTGTGGTATTGCAGAAGAGACAGTGTGACTTCTGGGACTAGGTCATAAAAGACAGTGGTGTTTTCATGTGTCAGTGCTCTCTGTTGGATCCCTTGCTCTGGGGAAAGCCAGCTGCCATCAGGTGGGGACGCTAGAGCAGCCCCAGGGAGCCCCGATGTGGCAAGGAACTGAGATCTTCTGCCAACACCCAGGACCAACTTGCCATCCATGAGAGTGGGCCATCTCGAAAGTGGGTGAGTCAACCCAGGTCAGCCTTCAGATGGTTCAGCCTAGGCCAACATCTTGACAGCAAACTCATGAGAGACCCTGGGCTAGAACCACTCAACTAAGCTGCTCCCAAATAATTCTTGACCCACAGACATTGTGTGAGGTGATAAATGCTTACTGCCATTTTAAGAAGCTAAGTTTTGGGGTAATTTATTATGTGGCAATAGATAACAATATAAACCTTTTTGGATTATTTCTTTGTGTTTTTCCCGCAACTCTGAGACAATTCCTACTTTTAACGGTGAGTTTTTAAGAGCTAAATGAGAAAGTAATTGCCACACAATGTTATTAAATTTTAGCTGAATACATCTTATTATTTACTTTAATCTTGTAGTTCTAGGCAAGCTCTGTGTGAAGGTCTACACTAAAAAATGATATACTCTGATCTAGTTCAGAAGGGAGAATTTTTGAAATTTACTTTCCATCAAATGTGTATTTTTCTGTTTTGAGATATTACCTGCTTGAGATTATTTTATAGTTTAAATTACATCGTGAAGTTTTGAGAAAGAACAAGCCAAGTACATTTTTATTAAGAGTTTACTGTCAGGAGGAAGACAGAATCTAGAAGTAACTCCTTGCTTTTTTTGCAAGGAGAGTATTGTCAGTGTTTCAGTCAGTGCTTGCTGCTGAGGCAGGAGAGAATAATTGTGTAAAGAGGGGCTCCCGCAGTGCAGGACAGGAAGCCACCATGTGAGCACCACGTCCACGTGCAGGCCGCAGGCTTCATTATGTCCTGAATACCATGCCTCAGCATTTCATGTGAGTAGTCTTAGATTATTCATCAAAGAACGGGTTATGTTTACAAATATAATGGTTTTAAGAATATTATAATTCAGCATGTTGACCACTGGTACTGGTACAACATGTTACAATATACTGTGCGTTTAAGTTTTTCAATCACACATGATTTACTCTTTAATGTTGTGCAATCTTTCTGAGATCATCTTTAAGCTGGGGAATCTTGTGTTTCCCAGGGTACCAGGAGGGGAAGACTGGGTACGAGTCAGTAGTCTATGAACTCCAGTGAAAGGCAGCAGGATACAATTTCTATTTGATTTAACATTCTCTTAATATCGCTGTTTTAATAACCTTGTGTTGGGTGAGATAAAATTTTCTTAATGAAAACCTTTTCACTAACCATTGATGCCCATTTGCCCCTACCCCCATTAACAAACACTTCCCATATATACACTCTGAACTTTCTATCTTAGCTTACTTATTGACAGTTGGGCAAATGACAGTGGAGAGAACATTGTTTAGATCAAACAACGTATTATTGTTGGAAATATGGCTGTCTCCTAGAAATATAGCCAAGTCAGGGTAATAGTGACCATATATTATATTCACATATACAGATTTTGTAGGTCTACATATACAAAAATATAGACACATATACATTTCCACATATAACTATATATAAAAAACTGTTAACTGTAATTATAATTACACATACACACACACACACACATATACATAAACAGGTTGGAAGTAGGAGATCCCCAAGGAAGTGGAGACTGAAATTCAGACACGGAGACCTTAGCAAGGTGAGTCAGACAGTGAGAACTGATGAGAGATTCCCTGAAGGAACATCTAACAGATTTTAGTGGACAAAGCAAAACAAAGAATCAAAGATAATGCAAAAGTTTCTAATGAAAAGTCATACTTTAACAAGCATGGGGAAATACAATTATAAACTTTTGATATACATAATAATTTTTATGAGTAGAATCCAGAGAGGTGGCTGCAGCAGGAATTACTGTCACCGTTTTGTAAATGAAGAAACTGGCTCAAAGAATTTTGATTGATTTTTTTAAGGTTTCATAGTTAGTCGAGGATAAAGCCAAAATTGGAATCTGGGGGTTTTGACTTCAGATCTTTCCATTTCCATGGATTCCTCAACTGGGGGTCTGGGCGTGGCCCTCTAGGATCCATGCTGTGCTATCCTGTCATGCATAGGCTGTGTGTGTCCGTGAATTTTCCCGGTTAGAGGACCCAGACTTTGAGATTCTCAAAGGGGCTGTGACTCGATAGAGCTTAAGAACTTTGTTTCTCCCTAGTGACTGCCTGGCTCAAGGGACCAGAAGGTTGACGAAATGAGAGGGATGGTCCTGCTGAATCATTAGATCATGGAAAAGTACATTCCCACAATGGAGAGACCTAGTTGTGTCGAGAGTCCTGATTGCGAGACAGAAAAGAGCAAGAGTGTTGGAAGTTAGGTAAATTTTTAAGGGAAAAATCTTACTTGGGGCTGGGCTAACTCTGCATCCCACTCAGGAAAACAGGTCGGACTGAACAGTTTAGGCCACATGGATGTTATGACTAAGCAACAGTTTCGCAGCTCGCCCATGTGCATGTGCTTTCCAGTTTTTTGGATATTTCTCCCATAGACAGTTGTTCTTGTGCTCTGTTGCATGCTGATGCTCAACTGCAGAGGAACTGAATGGAGAAGTTCAGAGAGACAGTGGTTTCTGACCACTGGCTGCGGTGCTGTGGATGGTGCCAGTGAAAGGTGGATGCCTTTTGTTGAAAACTCGCTTCGACTTTGTCATCAAGGTGTCTCTGCCATTTTATAATCTAAAGTCAGATCTGTTTACACTTCATAAGTATTGTTGGGTTTACTTGGCAATATATAGAAATGTCTATTGAGAAGTCCTTCGATTGCCATAATTCCTTTTTTCTCAAGCGTAGTAAATAGGAAATATTCTTAAGCATGAAATAGTGAAGAGCTAAAGTGAGAGGGCTGGAATTTGAAACTGCCTGAACAAACTCAGTCTTTAGAAGAACCCCACTACTGTTGGAGTTACTGTGAATATGTGAGCAACCTTCTAAGGCTGAATTGAGTGCACTATGAGGTTGTGGCTTGTTATACAAATTTCGAAACCATGAAAACAAATCGGCATGAAAGTAGTGTCATGCTAAAGCATCCTGGTTGCCTTAAACCTCAAGCATGGTGCCCAGAAACATATTTTACAGCACAACTGCTTTTGATCATTTGAGTGTTCACTAAGGAAATCATTGCATCGCATTAATACAGATGTGCACGTTTGTCCTGTTGAAATTGACTTAAAAAGTTTAGTGCAAAATCCAGTGGCACTTACAGCATCTTCCTTATAATAAAAAAGTAGCAATAACACAATTTCCTTCAGATCCACAACCACGTACCTGGGTATCCAAATGATCTAAAATTGTTAGCTTAGCTCTGTCTCCATCTCAGGTGCAAACAAGGAAGCTGAAAGTGTGTTTTGGGGTTAAAATATTCAAATGCAACAAAATAATAGTCAAGACCTTTCTTCAGGAAAAGATCCGTTGAAAGACACTTGACAGGATCCTGCAGGACATTGAGTTCCATTCCCCTGAAAAATGGAAAGATCTCTCTGTTTAATGTTAGACATGAAGGTAAAGAATCTTGCCTATACATTTGTGGAAGCAGATAGAGAAGAAACAAGTCAAACTATTCAGAGTGGCAACAGGACAAATAAAGAGCTCCCGACAGCGGTCACAGGCAGATGATGGAGACATCACATTAGAGAATTAAAGAATAATAGATTTTCTCCAGTTCAAGAAATGCCTTTTTTCCCCCTTGTGGCATAATAATAATAAACATTAATCTTAATGGCAGAATCCTGCTATGGGAAAAGAGCCTTTTCTAACAGGATGCAGTGGCAGTGTACTGGAACACATAGTGTTCTAATTGAGCATGTACCACACCTACATTTTTAGAGCACTTTACAGTTTACAAAGCTCTTTTAACACTTCTTATCTCATCCAAATAGGCTGGAGTCCTATTTCTGATTTCCCAGTTGACCATGTGAAATACAAAAACTTGCTCAACCTCTCCCAGAATCACTTTCTTTTCCTTGCAAAATGAGGAAATTAATGCCATCCCAAATGAATATTTTCTTTCTAAATCAGTGAATGAGAGTATGTTTTCTCTATAAATAAATTAGCAACTCTAATAACTGGAGGTCACAATTAACTGATCTAAATGTTAAGTCGATTAACCATTCAATTTGAATTTTGGAGTGTGTTAATTTTAACTGTGATTGGTGCAAAATTACTGTACATTTTGATTTCTTTGTTACTTAAATATTTTTCTTTCAGATGTATATCTCTCTTAAAACCATGAATTTTATTGTACTTCCTGTTACCGCAATGAAATATTATTAAAGTCAAGTCAGTTTTTATGCCTTAATGGTTTAATATTCTTAACATGTTCACTATTTTTAATGAGTTTTTTCCTATAGAAAGTAAATCATTCTCTTTTTCAACACTTCAATAAAGTAACCTTTTCCATGTGAATTTAATTAACATGTAAGTTTTTTCCCTTCATAATATGATTAGAAAAAGATAATTCAGTATTTTTTTAATCTGATTTTGAAAATTTTACCCTGCAAAATCATTATTTAAAATTTGAGTTTTTTTCTATACTTGTATGGACTTTAGAAATGAATATCAAAATAAAATCCTTTTTCTTTCTTCTTTTGGCATTGGATAAAATAGTGGTGTGGGGACCATGGGTTCTGTTCTCACTAAACTCATAATTTTTATAAGAAAGAGAGACACAGATTTATTGAATAAAATCTGTGCTGTGTCAACGAAGTGCTATTATACATAGTGGTAAATAGCTGATTTTGCCTGCAGGCAAGATTAACTTCCCCATATCATTCTGTTCATATTGCACTTATCCTGTTGATAAGGTATTATAATGAGAAAAGTTTCCATCTCCTCTGCTAAATATTTAACTTCTTAGAGCAGAAGCACTTTTATTTATCTCAATATCTCTATTCCTTACCTTGAATTATGCTCATTAAACATTTACTGAATTCAGTTTGGTGGAGAGAAGTTAGAAGAGCCCATAGAGGAGATAACATTTAGTAAATGAGATAATACTCGACATAGGCTTGAATAATAATGAGCCAGAAAAAGATAAAATAGGGGTGAGGAGGAAAGTACAGTCCTAGCAAAATCATGAGGGAATGAAAGCTTGTAAAGTATTTGGAAAAGGGTGACCTAGTGTTAGGGAGTGGCTAGAAATGGAGATGAAACGGTTTGACCCAGGCCATATTTATAAGGGCCTGGACTATCACGGCAATGAATTTAGAGTCTTCTGGAATAAACAGATCACATCAGTGTCTGGCAGTAGTGAGGACACTTCCAGCAGCAGTGGCCCCAGAAAGAAGGGCACGACAATACTTCAAATAAGAAGATGAAGTCCTGAACCAAGGCAGTGGCTGTGGAAATGGAGAAGAGGACATGATACCAAGAGACAATGAAGACTGAAGGAGACTGGGCCGCTGATACCATGAAACCACCATGTCAGCCCGGGACTGCTTTTCACGTCCACAGTTATTTGAGAGATTAAAAAAAAAAAAAAAGGTCCTATCTTGTTCAAGCAAATGCTATTAGGTTCTCTGCTATGTCAGTTAAAATCATAACCTAACGAATACAAGGAAGACATCCAATGGGTTCAGTTTGGAAGATGTGAAATCTAAAGTTGTTTTAAGGGTTTAGAATTCAAAATAGTGTTCAAAGGTAAAGATAAAATTTTGGAAACAAATCCCACATGAATTCATAGCTGAAACCATGGAACTGAAGAACAACAGCATTTACAGGGAAGGCAAATGAGGGAGTGGCAAACAGTACAGGAAACACTCGGGGAAAACGGAGCAGCATTTCTGGAAGTGGATTCTGTTACAAATTCCTGTAGTACTGGCCTGTAGGTGTGCTACAAAAGAAGATTCACAACCAATACACAGCGT